GAAACATTGAAATTTCTACAAAACTGCAATGGCCACTACACCAAAACCACTTAATTTCATACCTTTATTATCCACCGTCTCTGTAATAATAGACAGTAGGTTTCTTAAATATAATGCTGGGTCCTACGGCTGTTAATGGGTTAAACTCACAGGGAATTTTTAGACATTGTGCAACAATATCTTTAGTCATAGAATTGACCTACTATTGTTAATAGAGAGCTCATAAGCAAAATGAGTTTGGAGTCAATCCAGAATATCTCTATTTCCTTTTGTGTTTAGAACAAAGAATAATTAACCTGGTCTGTTCATCACAAGTAGAAGCCAAAGGCCTAACAATTCTTGTTATTATAATCATTTCTTTAGAAGGCACAAACCCTCGGAAGATTGAAAGAGAAAAAGAATACCAGAGAAACAGTAAGTAACCAACCAGGCACTTGCTTTGAGGAAATAACCGTTAAATAAAATGAGTTTACAGCTGAGGATATGGTTTAGAATTGAAAAATGTGATTAAAAATATCACTATTTCAAAGGTATTTTTAGGGGAAATTAAGCACCATAACCACCACAGTTCAGTATAGTAGTTATGGTGCAGTGAGTCAGATGACAGTCTCATTTAACGAGTAATGTCCAAATAGGGCACAACTTGACATTGCCAACATATTCTTCAATAATATGTTGAAGACCAGAAGGGACCATTGGCATTTGAGGTATCTAGGGAAGTTTCTAAAACCATTTAAAGACAGTTTTGCTACTTATCATGGGACAGTGGCAGGCTGTAGTATTTATAGTGCTCCCTTTGAAATTATTTCTAAATAACAAGATTGCGATAGTCAATATAGAAATGTATAGAATATGCATATATTGGTTGTTTTTCTCAATAGAGCTCAGAGCTTCTACCATGAAGCAATACAAATATTACATTAAATTATTGATTATATTGGCTATCTGGGAATTAGGTTTTCTTTGTTTATGTATCTCTACTTTATATAATAATTTAATTTACAGCAACAGAAATTTGCAAAGTAGGGGCCCCAATTAAGTTATGTATGGAAAATGTATTTTTTCATTGAGTGTGTTGTCATAATTCTGTGCATGGTGGATTGAAGTGTGTGGAATGTAGGAGATGCATGTGTAGGATTTGTGATAGATTTCTCAAGCTGTACAGCACATGGCAGACAAAGCCATAGGTTTCTCCATTCCACAGGCAGTCCCTCAGCTCTCCTCCCTGTCTCCCTATCAGGCACTTCATGTTCCAGCTAGGGAGTATAGGAAGTAGTATAGTGACATAACATCACTCTGGTCTGACGCCAGCATTAAGCTAGAGTTACAACGTCACTGACAAGATTTGCCCTGCTTGGGGATATGTTTCAAGCAAGGCAAATCAAAAAAGACTACCGCAGGAGCCTACGCAGAGCAGAAGACAGCCAGGAGCTGGGTGTTACACAAAAGAGTAACACCCACAAAGGAGCGCTTTATGACATATGTTGTATTAAATGTATATGGGTGCGATTTTGGGTAAGTGTATTTTTTATTGGCTCACAGGTTCACTGTCAAGAGTTACTTCAAACACCATGACCATTTCAGTGGTTTGAAGTGGTTATAGTAAAATGTTTCATAGTGAAATGCTGAGAAAGAGCCTTGTGCTGCCGGAGGTGTCATTCTACCTCTGGCACAGTCATGATGGTGTCAATAGCCCTAGTTTTGTTTTGGGCCGGCTAATGTCAATTCCGTGTCTATTGTATGTCTGACATTAGCACACACAGCATGTTGGCGGCAGATGACGAATAGGGCATAGCCCTCCCATGCTGCCCTAGCTCTTTTCTAAGCACATCCTCCATAACATCCCTTCCCCTGCAGTGAGGAGGTGTAATGTCACCGGAGTGTAACAATACAGAGCAGAAATTACACCCCTTTGTCAGTGTTACTATACACCAGAAACTACTAGCCTAAATAGCAGAAATGATGCTCAGGTGTCAGTTCGCATCATTCTGGACACACCTTTGTGGCGTTATCAGTATAGTACTGAACTCTCTAAAATGGTGTGATTCACAGTGGGGTGGAGTTTCCCTTGGGGATAAATTACAAGTAAGCTTAAAATATATTTGGGAGGTTTGAAAGTTTGGGACTAGCCAGTAATGCCCAGTAAGGCATTTGAAGTTTTATGAAAACACTGTTTTTTTTTTAGTTGCAGTGATTCATTAATACAACAAATTATAAACAGCACACTGCATCTTCCAGTGTTTTATTTCATATTTATTACAAAATTCTGCAAATGTTAATTTGATATCAAAGATTTGCCTTTTGATAATCAATGTTAGAATTTTCATTTAAAAGGTTGTTCAAATTCACATGATAATCACTTGTTAATAGTTACTGTTTGAGTCGTAACAATTCTAATATTCATTTTATATTATTATGTTTTAGAAATAGGATCATTGCCTATTACTACTGCTAGAAACAGAAACTGGAGTTCAGTTTAGTAATTATTTTTCTGTCCCCTGAAGGGCTTGCAGTCCAAGAACATTTTACTTTTACACTTTAGCTCCACTGACAAGTGAATGTGTTGGGTTTTTTTTAATTCTAAAATATTTTAGCACTTTTTAAATTATTTTTCTATTGATTGATTACTTGCTTTCATTTTCCTTATTCCTGCAAAGTTCATTGAAATTTGATTAAAGATTTCAATAAAACTACATGAAAAGTTTTACAAGGAAAGATATTTAAAGATTAATGTAATAAATGACTCTACCGACTATCCAGGATACTATATCATTAGATAGTTTAAAGAAAATTATAATAAACAAAGCATAGCACATAAAACAGATAAAAAAGATAATATTTTCAGCTTTCTCGTACTAAAAGAGAATGCTTTCAAAATGTAACATTATCATTTATTTTAATTTAGTAGCAATATATCCCACAATGCTGTACACTAAATGAATGAAATATTTCAGGTTGTTATGACAAATTGAGGAAAAAAATAGGTAGTTAGAACCTTGCACAAATAAGCGAAAATTCAGTTAAAGCAAAGTGTAAAGTAGATTTCATTACTGTTAGAAGAGAATTGGTAAAATCATTTAAAGAAGTGGGTATTTAAAGAGTTACTCTAATCACCATGACAACTTCATTGAATCGAAGTGGTCATGGTGATATGAGTCTGTCTTTGCAAAAGTTCTGCTTGAAATTCTTCATAATCACTATTGTGCCAGAGACTTAGACACATTCCAGGGTACCTAATATCAGTTCTGCACAAAAATTAGATCTGTCATCACCACCCACAGTTCTATGGCTACAGATATAATGTTCTCCCTCCCTTTGTGCAGTCCACCCGCCTTCATCAATTGCTCCCTCCATCCTTGGGTCAGAGGGTGCACATGCATTCCAAGCTGGTAAAACGGTCTAATCAAATGCTTCTCTATGAGAAGTATTTGATTGGACCACTAGGAGGGACTTCAGATGGGGTGTGGAGAGAAGTGCTGAGAACTTTGCCCGATGCTGAATTTCAGGGAAGTGTAAGGCTTTTTTTCAGATTTTAAAGGGAGGGACCTCCTCACTAATACCCAATATGACATTAGTAACTGAAATAAAATGTGTCTTCTAAACTATTAGAGAACCCCTTCATGCAGTTTCTTAAATGGCTAGAAACTAGAGGAAGAGAGATGAGGTATTGTGGGGGCATTTTATAAAAATGTGGAAGCCCTAAATACTTCTGTAGTTGAATGAAGGTGTTGAGAGAACAGGTAAAGATTGGTAGACTTGTGCAGGCATGGAGATGAATTACGTTTGGTAATTAAAGAGGATGTGTTATTTGGAGACCTTGGGGCATTTTTGCGGAGACCTTCCAAGGTGAGTTTTTAGGGGCTAGTCCAACCCTTTGTTTAAATTTTTACCTTTGCCTATTTGGCATTTGTTACTTGGTTTCCATGCCCCGGCCAACCTCATGCAACACCACTCCTTTCCTCTCTGAGGTCCAATCAAATGCTTCTGAAGTCTATGGATAGTTAATACAATTTTAAACAAAAATCTGCACACCAGTCAAGCCATAAGACTTGCTTTTCCCACAGAAATCACAAATTTTCAGTGATGTTACTACCGCAAAGGATTCTGGGTGGGCATATGCAAATCAGTTTAACAAAGAATTACCAGATTTTACTATTAACATGACGTAAAGTCATGATTTTATTAATGACATGGAGGCGAGTATTATGCATTCTCTTTCTTTATTATACTCCCAGCAGCAAGAAAAGGAAGTATGAGAGAATCATTGAAAAAACATAACAACAGCTTGGTAACACTGGCACCAATCAGCATCCAGTATTGTCCATATGGGTGTGGTGCTCCTTGACTCCTCCTCTTTCTGCGTAGATCCCAAAGACCATACTGTAATATTGTAAATTCCAAGGCATTCCAACAAGAAAATACAACTTCCTGAGACAAAACCATAACTGGGGATTCAACATTGAACAGCTTCAACCGCCAACTCTTAAGGTGTATTGAAGCTAAAAAAGAAGAAATATATGGTAATATCGGAATCTCATAACTGCTATTCCGTAATTATCCAACTCGTCAACCAATTATTCAATCGATGTAATATTATCAAACTCATCAACCATGTTATTAATTCCAAGTAAGTATCAACCATTCATATTCATAGAATACCTACTCACCTGTGTGCCGTGTATGACATCGCACCTACCATATTATGTCCTCAAAGAGGCTCCATGACTTGCCTGCAACTTAATCACCACCCTGGGTAGGGTGGGTGGGAATAATACTCGCCTTCGTGTCATTAATAAAATCATGACTTTACGTCATGTTAATAGTAAAATCTGGGAATTTTATTAAAGACACGGAGGCTCCTATTACGCTATTTTAAAGCTGAGCAACCACCAAACTGGAAATATATTGCACTGGGCGAATATACAAAGTGTCCAGGAATATGTCATGGCAGTTCCGAAGAGAAAAGTCTAAGCCTTTCCTCGGTTTCCAACCAGATTTCTTTAAGAATTGGACCAATTGAGGGTCCATGTCAGGTGTTTTTCCCACTGAGTCTGGGAGGATGGGCCATGGGCATTCCGCCGTAGCTTGTTATGCCCTTCTTTGGATAAAGGCTTGCGCACCCTAAGTGCGAGGTACTTCGCGATGTGCGCAGGCGGCTCCCATTCCGCCAAGCGAGGGTGACGGAGGTCATCTGGGTCACATAACGGGTTACCCAGTGGGTCCCGCAAATCGTCGCCCTCGCCTGATTCAGCAGGCATAGTGCCCTGAGCCGTAACCTCCTGGGTCGCAATGAATACTTTTATTTCAGACCCAGAGTCGGAATATTCCACACTGTAATGGTCCATATAGGAATCATCATACTGCTCCTCCAAACTCCAGTCCAAATCGGACGAGTCCTCATGAGCACATGCCCGCTTCCAAGTTCTGGTCGATTTTGCCCGGCCAGGGGCTATATTGCGCGGTGGTATCGCTGCATCCTTGACAGCCTCAGGCATGTCATTCAGTGCAGGCTGAACCTGCAGTTCTGGAGGGGAGGCCACGTCTGCTTTTTGCCAAAGCTTTGCGTCCTGGCTGTGCCACATTAGTGGATCCCGGGTTTAGCGTGTTCTGTGTGCCACTAGTCTGTGTCTGTATCAGCGCTTTGGGTATAGACTGAGTGACAGAGGATGACATGACCCCCATCACGGAGGTCAAAGCCCTGTTAATGGACTGTGGCATTGTAGAGTCCAGGAGGGATTGAAATTCCTCCGATGCCATGAAGCTGGCGTCATCCTTACATCCCTTGCCTGAGGGGGTGACCCCTGGTGTGGGACACATAGACCCTGTAGGTCTCTCAGTCTGGTCCTGCATGTTAGCAGATAATATCGTACACAGGGAATAAATTACCCAAGTTTAACTCAGTGGCAAAATAGTGGGCCCAATAAAGTAATGCTAATAATAATAGCTGGCTGATTCAGGAGCAAACAGTATCAGAATTAACCTGTTAGGGGAATAATACTAACAAAGGTAAAGAACAGAACAAAAAGGTGTCAGGATAGATTAATCCTCCACACCCACACTTACGGTTTGATCGACAAATAATAACAACAGACAGCAAAGGTAGCTCAGTATGGGTCTAGGAGTGCGCCAGGCGGGTAGGAGAAACCGCTGTAAGCCTGAGGAATCGCTACGCATCAGATTCCCACCAGAACTGCTCCTAAAATGGCCGCCGCGAGTGGAAACCAAAAAGATGGCCGCCGCTCCACGAACTGCGCATGCGTGGCCGACATGGAAGGGAAACTAGTAACTAGTCCATCGCGCATGCATGGCCACCTGAAAATCACGGATAAACCGAGGGCACAAAACGGAGGTAAGCTCAAGAATACCAGCTGAACCAAATTAAAACCGCACAACAGGGAAAGAAATCAGGGGAACACTACCCCGAGGTGAGGACAGGGGAGGGGAAAACTGAGGTTTCAAAGACCCCAATAGGCAGCACTCCTAGACACCAGAAGGTTATAAACACTTAAACAGCACGAACTGAGCATAAATGTACATAATCCTTAACCCCTTCAGGACCGAATTATATATGTGTAACATATATATAATGTCATACTAAGTGTATTTTTATATTAATATGTACATATAGTAATATAAAAATACACTTATGATTAAATTACACTCGTATATATATATATATATATATATAATATATATAATAACTATATATATTGTATATAAATATTATTATAAAATACAAATAATAAGTAATTTAAATTAAATAAAAACATGTAAAAATAATAATAAAAATTAAAAATATATATATATGAAATTTTATTCTAACTGTATTTTGATAGTAATATATATATTTATATAAAAATACACTTAGAATGAAATTGTATATATATCTATGTATATATAAATAAATAAAAATAATACGAAATATACATATGTCCATATACAAAATTACATAAATAATTATATAAATATACACGTAGACTTCAAATATATAAATATGCATATATATTTAAATTCTACGTGTGTATTTATGTAATATTTTTACATAATTAAGTAATTTTATTGATTGCAATTTGAGGGACCTGCCTGCCAACCCAGGCCGAAAGTCCAGAGAATTTAATTTGCTAGAACTATATTTTACCCTGTAACTTTCTATGACACCCTGAAACCTGTACATGGGGGGGTACTATTTTACCTGGGAGACTTCGCTGAACACAAATATTAGTGATTCAAAACAGTAAAACATATCACAGTGATGATATTGTCAGTGGAAGTGACTTTTCTTTTGCATTTTCCACACACAAACAGCACTTTTACTGATATAATTGTTGTGATACGTTTTCCTGTTTTCAAACACTAATATTTGTGTACAGCAAAGTCTCCCGAGTATAACAGTACACCCCATGTACAGGTTTTATAGCATTTTTGAAAGTTACAGGGTCAAATATATGGGTCAAATATTTTTACATTGAAAAAGGCCAGGTTGGTTACGTTGCCTTTGAGAGCATATGGTAGCCCAAGAATGAGAATTACCCCCATGATGGCATACCATTTGCAAAAGAAGATAACCCAAAGTATTGCAAATGGGGTATGTCCAGTCTTTTTTAGTAGCCACTTAGTCACAAACACTGGCCAAAATTAGCATTCAATTTAGTTTTTTACTTTTTTCACACACAAACAAATATGATCGCTATCTTTGGCCAGTGTTTTCGAACAAGTGGCTACTAAAAAAGACTGGACATACCCCATATTGAATACCCTGGGTTGTCTACTGTAAAAAAATATTTACATGTGGGGTGTTATTCAGAGATTTATGACAGATAATAGTGTTACAATGTCACTATTGATACATTTTAAAAATGTATGTTTTGAAACCGCAATATCCTACTTGTACCTATAGCCCTATAACTTGCAAAAAAAAGCAGAAAAGCATGTAAACACTGGGTATTTTTAAACTCAGGACATTTTTTTTTATCTATTTAGCTGTTTTTTTCATTCGCTTTTGTAGATGAGTAAAAGATTTTTCAAGTAAAAGTCAAAAAACATGTATTTTTTTTTAAATTAAATTACATGAGATTATATAAATAATGGTATGTAAAGAAAGCCCCTTTTGTCCTGAAAAAAAACAATATATAATTTGTATGGGAACAGTAAATGAGAGCGCGGAAAATTACAGATAAACACAAACACCACAAAAGTGTAAAAAGAGGCCTGGTCTCAAATGTATAACATCGCAAAAACTGTCCAGTCCTTAAGGGGTTAAATCTTTAATCAAATACAAATAAATGCATGAGAAATCACAGGAGTAGCAAGAGATGAGGTACTTAACTTGTCTGAGGGAGCAGCAAGGAGCACCACACCCATATGGATAGTACTGGATGCTGATTGGTGCCACTGTTACCAGGCTGTTGTTATGTTTTTTTCTATGATTCTCTCATACTTCCTTTTCTTGCTGCTGGGTTTATAATAAAGAAAGAGAATGTATAATAGGAGCCTCCGTGTCTTTAATAAAATCACATTTTTGCCTCATTCCATTTTAAACATGGATTCCTTTGAGTCTGTGTTTGCTGTATACAACAGCTTTGAAACACAACTTAGGAAATGATACAAAGCCAGTGAGCCACTCATGGACAGCTGTTTCATTGTTAACGCAAATCATCAGCATGAGGTTGGCTACTGGTTGGCTATTGAGGCTTCGTGCTTGTGAAGCAAAAACCAAAAGGTGGCTTTGCATCTTTTCCTAAGTTGTATTTCAAAGCGGTTGTATACAGCAAACACGGAATCAAAGGAATCCATGTTTAAAATGGAATGTGGCAAAAATGTGATTCTTTGTTAAACTAATTTGCATATGCCCACCCAGAATCCTTTGCGGTAGTAACATCACTGCAAATTTGTGATTTCTGTGGGAAAAGCAAGTCTTATGGCTTGACTGATGTGCAGATTTTGTTTAACATTGTAATAATATAAATAAAGATATATGTATGTGTTATTACAATGATATATATATATATATATATATATATATATATAAATATATGGGCTGGGCTGGGTGTTTTCTAACCCTCTGCTCGTAAGAGAGTCAATGTTTTAGTCAATTTCAGGAGAATGAAAGTTGTGTGGGAGACTATCTATAAATGAGAAAATGAGCTTGGGGGGAGGAGGGGGGGGTGGGTAAGGGGTAAGTGCACAGAAAAACTAAGCAACCTGCTAAGTCTGTTCTGGACTGGGATTGTTTAACAGGCAACACACTGGCCCTTCTACACTTGCTTTTGTATAAAGATTTGGATTGTCTGCCACAGTGAACCATTGCCAGGTAGCCAGCCTGAGTCCGGGACACGGCCATGCCTTGTACAAATAAGCTGGCACCAGGAACCTCCTCGTTCCATAACATTATTCTGATAAAGTTGTTATGGTGCCCATAGTGTTCCTTTAACTGGAATTATTCATGAATGGTTTTAAGAAACACAAAAGTCAAAGAAGAAAATTTGATAATATTTTGACTGTCTAAATATGTGGGGTACTGTTACAAGACTTACTTTAATGGGGCTATCCATGGTCAAATTCATTGAAGTGGAATTTGAAATAAAGGCTTCACACTTATTATAAAAAAGCTCCCAACTTGCGCCATTACAGTCCATAATGAATGCGGCGGCGAGGCTCATCTTCCTGTCCGCCCGCACCTCCCATGCCTCACCCTTCTGGCAGTCCCTACATTGGCTTCCTATAAAATATAGAGCTCAATTTACAATTCTGGTTCTTGCTTTCAAATTTCTACATAATGCTGCTCCCACCTATCTATCCTCCCTTATACACAAGTATGTCCCGTCTAGGCCCTTACGATCTGCTGAAGATTTACGTCTATCTTCTGTCCGTACTCCCACCTCTGATGCTCGCCTTCAAGATTTCTCAAGGGCTGCACCGTTCCTGTGAAACTCGCTTCATTCCTCCGTTACATGCTCACCCAGTCTCCACTCCTTCAAAAAATCGTTAAAAACCCACTTCTTCATAAAAGCGTATCAGTTAAACTGTTAATAGCTCCTGACTGATTCCTCTTCTGCAACTGTCACTAGTCTAACACTATCCTTACCTTTTTATGTCATTTTACCCCACTCCCTCTTGTATGTAAGCTAATTGAGCAGGGCCCTCAACCCCTCTGTTCCTGTGTGTCCAACTTGTCTGGTTACAACTACATGTCTGTTCGTCCACCCATTGTAAAGCGCTGCGGAATTTGACGGCGCTCTAAAAATATCATAATAATAATAATAATAATAGATTTGGACTATAAACCGGATTTTCAGTGGGAGTTAAATGATTTTAATTGCACCTGTATAGATAACTGCCAAACTTTGCAAGTCAACTTTAAAATAAATTTCCCAAATCATAAAGTCCAAAAAATACTGTAAGATGTTATTCTCTCGTTGTATCTTGTAGTAAGATACAAAGCAAAATAAAGCAGTGTCACATCATGCCATGTTCTGTGGAGATGTCTGGCTTTGGCTTCTGGTCAGGGCCAGATTAAGAGCCCAGTGGGCCTGGTGCTGACAATTATGACGGGCCTAATTACAGAATCATATCGACCAAAAAC